CCATTAAAGAAACATCATAACCTTATAACATTTCCATGTTTTAGCTTAGATTTACCAACACATTTTGACCAATATTTTAACAACTGCATAATGAATTTATCTGTGTACCGGGTGGCAAGCAGGATAAGCGGGTCCTGAGGGTGATGGTCAGGGGTCACAGCCGCTTCTCAGTTGGAACTGCTGGTGCGACCATGTGGGACTGGCCGGTCCTCCGGGAATGGTGACTTGAATAGCAATCCTTGAGTCATTTCAGAGGTTCATGGACAAGATCAATCCAAGCCTGAATGTAAGTGACCTGGTCAGGGTGTCTCAGATTTCCAAAGATGACTCTAGACTTGGTAAGCAAAATAAAGGTTAAAAGAGCCTTCTGGAGGCCAACCGGCCTAAGGGAAGGAGGGCCATTCCATTTCAGAGAAGGTCCAAAACAGATCCAAGACTCCAATCCGTCGTCACGGAGGGAGTCAAGTCCAGGGGCTATCGTTACATCTAACACCGCCTAGGACTCCCGGATGGGCGCCCAAACAGAACAGATACAGATGTCTTACCGGTAAGAACTTACAGACGGCTCGGAGGTTCGAATGATGACATTTCTAAGTTTTCGGAGACCACCCTGGGGCCAGAAAGTCTCCCCAGAGAAATGGTTTTCGAAAACTCTGGTTCCTCAGATGGATCCCCAGTAAAGGGGATCCCGGACGAGCCCCCAAATGTTATGGGTCACTCAGAATAGGAACCAGATCAACCAGATTGGAATTTGGAAAGCCGTTTATTACTGAGCTCAGGGCCCCCCGGTCTGCTCTCTCTCAGGAGAGGACCGAAAGGCGCAGGAGAGGACCGAAAGGAGCAGGAGAGGACCGAAAGGCGCCAGCCCAGGAAGCAGGGAGGGGCTTTAAAACCTGGAACCACATTGAGTTTGATAAACAAATTTATTGTCTGACACAAAATGCTTTTAGAATGATTGTGACCACTACCTAAACTACATTTTCTGGGGCTTTTGTTTCAGTTTCTGGTTAATTTGCACCTGAGTACCAGCAGGCAGCCTTGCATAGCCCAGAGGTTACAAGAAGATAAAGCCCATTTAGTTTCCTTTGTCATCTCTGTAAGCTAACTTTGCAGACAGGAATTGGTGAGGGTCACAGGAATTTTATCTAGCAAATAGCAAGAAAGAGCCACTAGTTACTAAACAACTTAGAACAGTGGTGAGTATACAATTATAACAGAAAGCACAAGATTTACATTTATAATCTAAAACGTGAGTTGACTCATTACACTACTGAGCCATCTCTCCGGCCCAGGAAGGTTTTTATGGGCTTGCAATGAGGAAGTATAGGGGTAGAGGACTCGGCTGACTTTGACTGGTTCTTACAATATGCACCACAGCAACCTGGCATTCCCAGGAGACAGAAACAACTGGAGCTAGAACAGGAAACTGTCACCTGGGCAGCTGAAATATGGTGGGGGGTGGCGTTTTCTGCCGCACAAAGTAGCAATGAACGTTAAGAACTGAACAAAGAAACAAACTCCAAGGTAAGTTTAATGGGCCTGGTTAATAAAGCTGTCATTTGGAAAAAACAAAACAACAACAAAAACACCCTTAAAGAGTCTGACACTTGGCTTCTCTGGGTTTGAGTTTTTCACAGGAGTGTACAGATCTTTGATTGTTGCAAATAAACCTATGCGTTCACTTCTGTGTGTCCCTCCCAATTCTATCTTCTGTATAACAAGAACCAAAGACAAACTCCTGACAACCGTGGGCAATTTAGGGAGTCCCAGGGTTTTTTTGTTTGGTTGGTTTTTAAAGGCCTGGGGATGTAGCTCAATGGTAGAAAGAAGGGCCCTGGGTTCCATTCTCAGCGCAAATAAATAAGCAAATTAATTTACAAGAGAGAATGAAAAGCACTAAAAAACGTCAAGGACTGGTGAGAGACCCAGGTTCCCCTGGGGAAGACGCGCTTCCTTCCACTACCGAGGTCGCCTCCTTGCCCACGGTGATGTTCTTCCTGCGAGTACGTTAGCA